TTAGTCCGTCTTAAAGGCAGATGCAGTAAATGTTGAAAGTTTTATTTATGAGTATGTCGTAACTAATATATAATATAGATGTTCGATATTTAATATTAACCATCGATATTAGATATTGATTTTTTATGCATTAAACTCTAAACAGCAATATCACGCGAGGAAGTAGGATATTTGCTGGGAAGGGAGACAGCTGCCTTAAACATCTCATTATAAAATTTGAATTTTTGATCTTCACTGGGTCATTTTCGAAAATTTATCGAGTTTCAATAACCGAACACCTTTTACAGCTCTTTAATATATGCGCGATCTTCAAAGTTTCTCTGGAATTAGTTCGTTGAAGCGTTAACTGTCCCATTTAGTATTTGCAGCTAAAACTTAACGCTGCCGGGAAGATGGCACGGTTAAACTGGTTCGGCAGAATCCAGTTATTCGAAATCTGCATCTTCGATATTTAATTTTCGTGATCTTTATGCGGATTTAGGTCGGTTGGTTACCGTTAATGGTTATGAGTAAGTTTCGAAATTGGCTCTCCAAATATATCTTTAATAACGTTTAATATTCTGGAATATTGCACGAATATTCGACTAGCTGGAGTAAAATACTACTAGTATGACTCCGGACTTCTCACTTCTCGGTATATATATTTTCTCTTCGGAGGTAGCTGCAGTAACACTCATTTGTTGTTGAAGAAGTTTTTCAAAGGAATCATTTGTCGAAGGTCAGAGATGTAACACAGATACTCTACAGTTCTCTTTCTTTATTTTATGAGTAGCACCAGGGCGACATACCTCAACACAGACTTGAAACAATACCGTGATCTATTTATAGGTCTGATTGTAGATACACATCATCTCCGCCAATCCAACAGTTTGGTCATTGGGGGGATGGTCATCCATATTTTAGACATTAGAAGCTTAGCCGCAAAACTGGGCGCCTTAATCGATCTTAATCTGCTAGCTTAGGTTGTAAATCGGTTAAAAACCTTCGTTATTAGAATTTCACGTGATATCGAGGGAATCTAGTTTTCGTCTCAACTTAAAGACTTTAATTATTTTTTTCCGGTTTGGTGGTACGGAGATTGAATTTATAAAGCACGTCTTTACTTCAAATTCGACAGAATGTTTATATGTTTCCATAGAAATGACATGAGATCGTTCCTTTCCGCGACTTGATATACTTTTTATATTTCCTTACTTTTACTGATAAGCTAAGGACTCTGCTTGTCGTTCGTCAAATAAAGTCTCTTCCATCTCCTTTCCCGTCGGTTAGTGGTTCATTATGTTCCTTCCGAGGAAAAGATTTGTGACTATCAATGGTCTTACACATTAAATTACACATGCCTATATTTGGACCGGAATCCTCTAAAGTAAGGATAATTGTAATATTTAAATATGGAGGAGGATTGCAGTGCTCTGTCAATATAGCTTTATTCGGCATAATATTATCGAGATTTTCCATTACTATTAGTAATAGCTTCTTTAGCTTTGTTATATATCCGCTTGCTTTAAGATCCACACTCGTACAAGGTTTAATCGGTGCATGGTACGGCTAAAAGGCCGTTGATAACCGGCTAAAATCCTTTTGATACCTGGTAAGCGACCTAATCCTACCAAGCACTTTACCTCTAGCAGCCAGGCAGACTCTAGAACCTTCATGACTTCACGCACGAGCAGCCATGCATCCTCTAAAACCTTCCTGACTTTACGCACAATCAGCCAGGCAGACTCTAGAACCTTCTTGACTTCACGCACAAGCAGCCAGGCAGCCTCTAGAACCTTCCTGACTAACGCACAAGCAGCCAGGCAGCCTCTAGAACCTTCCTGACTACACGCACAAGCAGCCAGGCAGCCTCTAGAACCTTTCTGACTACACGCACAAGCAGCCAGGCAGCCTCTAGAACCTTTCTGACTACACGCACAAGCAGCCAGGCAGCCTCTAGAACCTTCCTGACTATACACGCACAAGCAGCCACGCAGCCTCTAGAACCTTCCTGACTGCACGCACAAGCAGCCAGGCAGCCTCTAGAACCTTCCTGACTACACGCACAAGCAGCCAGGCAGCCTCTAGAACCTTCCTGACTACACGCACAAGCAGCCAGGCAGCCTCTAGAACCTTCCTGACTACACGCACAAGCAGCCAGGCAGCCTCTAGAACCTTCCTGACTACACGCACAAGCAGCCAGGCAGCCTCTAGAACCTTCCTGACTAACGCACAAGCAGCCAGGCAGCCTCTAGAACCTTCCTGACTACACGCACAAGCAGCCAGGCAGCCTCTAGAACCTTCCTGACTACACGCACAAGCAGCCAGGCAGCCTCTAGAACCTTCCTGACTACACGCACAAGCAGCCAGGCAGCCTCTAGAACCTTCCTGACTACACGCACAAGTAGCCAGGCAGCCTCTCGAACCGTCCTGACTACACGCACAAGCAGCCAGGCAGCCTCTAGAACCTTCCTGACTACACGCAAAAGTAGCCAGGCAGCCTCTAGAACCTTCCTGACTACACGCACAAGCAGCCAGGCAGCCTCTCGAACCTGACTAACGCGATGTAAATTAGCTCCGTGTAAGATTTAGATAGTGTAGTGTGTACACGTATATTATACACGGATTACAGTAGAATGGATCTGTGTTGAGGCTAATTCTTAGTGGACAGTATCTCTTTGTATTGAGGTTAAATATTAGTGGACCATATCTCCCTCATCGGTGAGCTGGTTATAGTGCACTGCTAATTGCTATCACAGTCTCACTGCCTCCCCACTATTACAGTCTCACTGCCCGCTGCTTCATTTACCTCACTGCTTGCAACATACAGGAGATACAGATTACAGAATGACGATATGCTGCTATTATACTCAACCCTCTCTTTTGTATTTTGTACCTACCACACCCTTACTCTAATTTACCTTTGTCTGTGAGAGAAGTGTGATACGGAGCAATGCCATACCTTCTCATTATGCTTGTGACACCTCTCTTTTACTACAGATTGTTCCCAATTATGGTTCGTTTATTTGATCAAGTTGCATCCCTTGATTTATTTCCCGACAGGTAGTTTATGCCAGAATGCTCGATACAACTCTCGTATTGGTCGATCTGATTTAGCTCGTTTATTTAGATAATATTGGCATGATCTAGAAGCTGCATTTTAAATCGATCTTATTCAAACCTGTCACGTTCACCATCGTTGTAAGTTTCAAATTCCCTCTTATGTTTTAAATTTTTCAATCACTTTAATTCCAACAGCCGTTTTGGCGTCAGCATTTTATGTTTAATTAACTAATTATCTATTAATAAGTTAATTAGTAACATTCGCTTGTAAGTTGCCACGTGACCAGCGTTTGTGTGTCTGGCTAACTTTTCTCAAATAAATGTATTATATTTAGCCATTTGTTTGCATTTTACTGTCTAGTTTACAATATCAAGCGGGATTAACTAATTGACCTTCTGTCGGATTAATTAACCAAGATATTAATTAGTTTCTTCTCACATCAACTTAATAAGTCCTATTAGCTCGACTACATTTGTCTCAGATTATCTAGATTAGTCTGAGAATGCTTTTAATAATTGACTAATCAATTTTATCCACTTAACTAATTTGACAATAGCCCCACTTAATTGATTTGATCTCAATTTGATAAAACATAATTAAGATTGTATGTTTGAACAATAATCAGTGTTATCAGTTATATTAACTAGCATCCTGGGTAATACTGGGTGACCAACTGTCGTCAAACTGTCGTCAAACTGTCGTCCGTATTAAAAGTACACGGTACTGACTAGTGATATGCAGTACACGCATATTTTATGTAATGCCATAATAACGTAAAAATGCCAGTCTTGTTACAGATTTCGTTAGTCACGAACTAGGCATTTTCTTGAGCTTATTATTTTGTTAGTTTGTTGTAATATCGTTGTGCCGCTTTGTCATTTGTATGTTTTAATTTACATTCAGTTTAACAACAGAGTTTTCAGTTGATAGTCGTTTCATGTTGCCTCCAATCATTGTTAAACGATTTATAACTTGAAAATTGGACGTGGCAAATACCCCGTTTGCGTGTAATTGCAGTAATTTTAAAACTATATAATTTGACACTCAATTTAGAATATAAGGTCGGGTCGGGATTATGGTCACATACAATAAACATTGAGCATCAGCAGTGAGTAAGTAGTATCAGTATGTGCTAAACGTAACTGAGATGAGACAAGTTCACACTGTGACAAGTTCACACTGTGACAAGTTCACACTGTGACAAGTTCACACTGTGACAAGTTCACACTGTTGTCAGAGTTCGCACTACCGGAAGAAGTAACGTCTGATAATATCAGTGAGGATGATGATTAGGAGGAGGAAGGCGGAAGAGCAGGACTGGAATCAGCCTGATATCCGGCCAGTCCCCTCTAGTCCCCCGGTCACTAGAGATAAATGTAGACAGTAGACATCATGTCTTGGAAGTAGAGCAATTCTGGGGGCTGTATTGACCTGGTGGCAAGAGAAAGCCTAGGGCTTCTTTTCAGTGCTACCCAGTGCCACGAATGACGTAACATTGCTACATAATGTCTGATGCCTAATGCTTTATGTAGAGCCTTGTTACTGGTAGGTAGTGTATCTTTACATAGCTCATTAGTCACTGGCAGCAGTATGCTCTCTGATAGCTATTAATTTAACGAGTAAAGTTATGTTAAGTAAGTAACAAGTGGAGATTGGTTCCTACTCCCGACAGAACTCATTAACCTGAATGCCGTCCTCAAGATTGCTTTATTTCCCTCGATTAGGCACGCTCTGTGTATTTGAGGCTAAGCTAAAAATAACGATGATGCGGCCATCAGCCAGCCTCCATCCGCAATATTAGAATCACGGAGTTAACATGTGACAGGACACGTAGCGTCACGTGTTGTGTATTCTCTGTAGGGCTGCTAACTTGATACTGGCACGTGGGCATCACACGCGCAGCAGGAGGTTGACACGTGCGATGCGCGCTGTGCACTGAGTGGTTGGTTGTTGTTGCAACGCGCCAATGAGAGGACAGTTCAGCGCTGTATATAATGATGTATGTAATTAGTGCGGTGTGTTAGAGAGAGCAGTGTCCTTGACTCGTTGTTGAGCGTTTCTTTGAGCCAGTGTGTTACGTCACTACGAGCCCGTGATGTCAGGATTTTAGTTTCCGTCTCCGCCCACTCTGCTCCAGATATACTCGGACCCAACCGGACCCGACCTAACTTTTACGCTTCTACTTTTTCTGTGTGTAACCTGTATTTCGTTTGAAGGAAGATTTCAAGCTGGCGCCCGACTCCACAAACGTTATGTCCTACGGGAGTTCATCTCCCACTCTCCCCACAGCCCCTTGTCAGAAGATGGAAACTCAAGAACCCTCTCTCTCTTGCAGCAGTACCTATACCATGATCAAACAGATTGGAACTGGAGGCTATGGAAAGGTCAGTCTACTTCTTTATTCGAAAATCTTCTCTCATCTTGAAACTTTGATATTTGTTGGTAGTCTTGTTTCATAAAATCAGTTTTCGGTACTTTTTTGCCATTTTTCACATCTCACCCTGCCCTTGTTGAATAAACTGAAGACTTCTCATTCGTTCGATTTCTCACAACTTCCACCCTTTCCCACACTCGCTGTCTCAACATAAATATTACATACCACCACCATTCTTATAATTTCACAACCTTGAGTAAAGAATAAAGATTTGCATCTTGGTACATGAACCATATAGTTTGTACCATCGTGTATCATCTCGTTCGCACTTTAACTTTAAGCCTACGTTTTCTCGAGCTGTATGATAATTGACTTCTAGACACAAAGTTGTAAATTAGATCAGAACCACAACTTTCCGACCCTTTGTCCCGGACATGCCCGACCAGGTCTTACTCCAGACACCCCCAGGGTACTTATCCCAAATTAGGTAGTCCCCAGTCCCGTACAGAAGTCCACCGAGCACCCTGAGGCCAAGGGACTTAGGGGACGGTCCGTACTCATCTGTTATTAATCTAATAGTGGGATCATGTAGTAGGACACTGTGAGTCCTAGGTCTAGGTCTGGACTGTCTCCGTACTGATTGCTACTATAAATAGCACCTACCTTACACACTGTGCCCTAAATCTCTTTGATTTACCAACATTGCAATCTCTGATTAGCCGTCACTGGGTATTTAGAACTAACTTGTCTCCCATTGGGCAGCCTCCGAAACACACGCTCTGATTGGTCAGTTTATCCGATAAAAGCGCCTGATTGGCCGGCCCGGGATGTGGTGTCTCCCCTGAGGCCTTCCCCTCTAAATATGTTTATCATTACCTGGTCTCTTACCCACACAAAGGGTTATATATAGCGAGCTCCAATACCCAGCACTCAGCAGTTGTTCCTTAAATGGAATAATATCACTTCCTAATAAGGTATAATAAGGTTAATTAGCCGCGTGTACACAGGACTGTAGCGGCCAAGGCTTGCTAGTGTGCAGAAGTGAGACTCGAGGGTCTCAACTAGAATAATAGATATCAATAGCCTGGTATGTGATGGTTGGTATGTGATTGTAGCCTGGTATGTGATGGTGTGTATCAGTGACCTGTTGTTGTGACTGAGTAGCTTTGTGTACACAGTAAAACTCTCTGATACCCGCTCTCTTGAGCTGAGAGGGTGGGCATCTTATTGAACAGGAAACAGTGTAATACTGGGCACTCACACACACAGCACTAGTACTTCCATCCGGTGTGATCAGGCTCACACCAGGGAAGGGACCGGCGTGATTTGGGTTATATCATCAGATATAGGCTACTACACTCTTAGAGTGATAGATATCGGCCCCAGGAAAGGAACTTCACTAAGAGTGTGTGTCTTGGTAACATGACACCAGGGTTTCATCTCACTGATAAATGTCACGAGATTCTGGTCGGTACGAGTCCCTGAAAAAAAGGGTAAAAACGGGATTTTAATGAACATTCTAGAACGTTTGTTTTAACAAGTTCTGGTTAATCCCCCTTTGATCTGGTGTGTTTGAGTTGAGGAGCGGTAACGCAGTCTCATTGAATCCCTGCATACTACACTGTTATATCCCTGATAAAATAGAGTCACCACATAATATCGCAAGAGTTACGTGGATATAAGAACCGTCACTAACTTAGAGCTCTCTTGTTTTTCGACTTGAAGAAGCGAAAGATCGCTGGTTTTGGGTTTCGAGAAGAATTACGTGCGAATTGAAGCTTTATCTATATGCGAACTTGCCTGCAAAGTGTGTTTTGAGAAGCCTGATGCATTGCTCAATATTTATAAACCAGAACTACTTGGACTGAGACACGAGACAGTAATGTTAAAATCGCCTGTTCTTCACGCCAGCATCCTGATTCCTATTTCGCATATATTAAGAGGAAACGTTTAACCGTTTTCGTGTGGCGACTACGTCAAACGAAACAGTTGCCCAGTTACACCCCCTCTGAAATGATACCTGCGTAGTCTACTAACGTCACTCGTCTTTAGAGGTCGTGAGGTCTTTAGAGGTTGTGAGAAGATATCACTGAGTGAGGTAGGATATAATATATGGTCTGGAGGATTTAATAAGTTCGTCAGAAGATCGGGCTACTTTTCTTGAGAAAGGAGTAGCATGTTTTATAATGCTATGGCTCTGTATCGGGGAAACCTAGAAAGTACTTCCTCAGAACTGATAACTTATAACCGATACTCATTTAACCCGGGAAAAGGGAACTATATCTGGTTCTTTAGAGAGAGGGAGAAATGTAGGGCTCTACACAGAGAGGGTGATAAAAGTTTACAGTTTTGTTCGCCTCTTGTTGCTGTGAAATAAAGCTTCTCTAGCATTAGAGTTAACACTGACAAGCTTCTCCTAAAGGTACCAGATTTGTTAACAATTACAGCTGCTGACTAGACACACCAGTCTACTGTAACTAACAGACTTAATTAGTTACATCGCCTCCTCCCACTTTAGTTAGCGCTAATACAAGTCAGGGTTATTTTAATCCACAATAAGTCAGTGCTATTTTATCTCACACTAAACAATAGAAGTTCTCCTGAAACGGCAGGTTACTAATGACAGTCTGTGATTTAACAAGCTCGTCCCCTTTTTTAATGTGATCTAAACATTGTCCCTGCCTTTAAACATGATCTAACAAACAAACTGACATTTTGTCTCCCAACAATAAAACCTGATCTAATCGGGCCTGGTTTTAAAAGAACTGGTTTTGTTACTCTCCCACTGAGTAGTGTACTTGTAGTTATTAGAAGGTAGCAAGCCCGGGCATGATTACAGCGGTCAGTTATTCTGCAAACTTTGTGTGCGAGAGAGAGCTTTACTTACGAGAATGAGGGCTGAAGTAGCCCTAAAGTTGGACCTTCTAGTCAAATCCACAGATTGCTTCCACCACGTGACACATCCTAGCCAATCAGCGTGCAGAGAGATCTTTTCACGTGACACATCCTAGCCAGTCACGGTGCAGCCTCCTGCAGCGTTACCTTGCTTACCTTGCTACGGTGTGGAGACATTGCAATGTGACATGCAAACACTGACCTTCTCACTACATTCAGATTATGTATACTACACACTTTCAGTACTACTGTCACACCTTCAAAGGAATTTGAAAAGAGATGTTCTGGTGTCTTTTCAAAGAGATGTGCTGGTGTCTTTGATCCGCAGAACAGGGCGGAAGGTGATATTAGGTCAGGTTTAAATGAAGGTGAAAGTGCAGGTGACACTGTCCAGCTAAGTGAGGTAAGGTGCAGCTGTCACCTTTACTCCACGTGCTGTCACTTTCACTCCACGTGCAGTTTTGGTATTCTCAATCAAAACTCAGTCATTTCCCACCACAAGGAGGCTCCTGACACTGCCTTGTAATTACTACTAGTATTACAGAGTGACCCGTATTAGAGATGAAGTAATAGTCTGATCATCTTAACCGTTGTAGTGATGTCATCAGATCTTGTGGGGGTTACAGACAGGGGATCGTAATGTCTTGCAACACAGACGCAACCTTCATGTTCCTGTTAGTTACGGCTTATTTGATTACACATTATATGTCATTCGATTTACCCGGCTGGATAATATTAATACCATCAGGATATCCAAGTGTAGCCAGGATTATGCTGAGGAATCTGGAAAAGTATTCCAGGAATTTGAGTGATGCTCTGAATGTGCAGTGTTTTTACATGAAGCAATGATTTCTGACAATGATGCTTAGTCATCAACATTATCAACAGTAGGTGATAGAATAAAGTAATCTGAGCTATCAATTCAACACCTGAGCAGCTGGGCCACGCCCGGCTATCACCATGGTGATTGGACCAGAAGCATCACGTGGGCGGAGCTCTGATACTTTGATTGGTTGTCGCACTTGTCAAAACTGAGGTCACGTTTCAAAGTGGAGGTTCAGCCGTGCTATAGTTCTCTTACATTATTATATCCTATTTTTGGAGGTGACTTAGTGAGCAGTAGCTACAGTTCTGTGATGTTTTACAAGGCCTCTGTGTTTGACGTTTTTACTCTGTGTATGCGAGAAATGTAAAACTAGTAGTTTTACAATTGATCTAGAGGAAGCTGGCAGATTGGGTCCAGTCATGGTGGATGGCAATATTCCAATATTTTTAAAATTTATCATGATTAAAAAACGTCTAGAAATAAAACCAAGTCATGAAAATTCCAACTTATCAGATTTTCAGAAGTAGATTCCGCCTGTCATGACCTTCTCTCAAACAATTACGTAACTTTGAAGGGAGAAACACCCTCACGTCCCCCTGAACACTGCTTGATAAGAGTATTATCTGTGAAACTAAACACGCACGTGAACTAGACTTCTGGTTTACAGATAAGATTACCCGGCCGAATTCTTTAACGATAAGATCATGAAAACTTACAGTTTCTCAGAGTGCCCTGCCTCTTCTACATTGAAATTTGAAGTGTTATTTAGGCGAGTAAATTTTTTAAGTGGCGCTAAAAAGACAACAATTAGCGCTAAATCTGGACATTCTCAAACACTTTCTATCTAATCTGAGCTCCGTGCGTGATCACTCTTTTAAGTGTAAATTGTGCACACGTACACCCTGTAATAACACAGTTCACACGTACACCCTGTAATAACACAGTTCAGTCGAGTCTGCTATCTAATTAGCTATATCTGCCTCCTCTAATTAGCTATAATAAGCTATATCTCCAGATTGTATCTGGGGTTAAGTGGACACGCCTCTATCTTGTTGACCTTGTTAGCATTCTATTGTCTGTGCTGTATCCTGTTAACAATCAGACACAACTAGCCTGGAGCTAACCAATCAAAGCACTGCAAACCAGTCTGATAACCAATCAGAAGTGGTGTAACGAGCCAGTAAGATCAGTGTAATTTCCGATCACATTATATAAGTTGACAGATAAGCTACACTCGCACCTAACAAGGAGTTTCAACTGTCAGCACTGTGCGTTACTGCGGCCACCGTTACTTGTCAGCGTCACCATGGTAACTTGTCAACAATTTGTCATCTCTCTGTCTCTCTCTCTCTCTCTCACTTCCTCTCAAACAATACAAAAAGTAACCCTCCTGTAGTTTAACAGCTACCTTTCTCTCAATTCTTGGTATAATCTACCACACACAATACCGTAATCTGGGAAGTTGCTTCTTCTTTTTCAGAAAAGCGAAATTAACCCAAATCGACTCCAGAGTAGTTGTCACGTGATCTCAGGCCGTGTTCTGATTGGTTAGTGACAAGTAATGCTCCGTAATAAGGACAACTAACCCAACCCTCATTAGATGTAAATACGCTGTACGTTAGTCTTTAAATTTACACACAAGCCAATGTGAGCTTATATTGCATAATTCAGGAGACAAGTATCTGTAACAATGTGTAATAAATTATAACTGTGAATATTCAACAGGATAATTAGAAAACCAATAAGAATTCTCCGAAATTGACGGTCAATAATGCTTACTGTTAATTCTGTGCGAAGTTAATATTCAATATAACTTAATACTCGTGACGTACGACACCGTGAAAGAGCGACAACAGTTAAATTAAAAGCTCGTTCATTTAGTAGCTTCCACCTATTCGTGACGTACATGCTACGCACAAGGGCCAAGTTAAGACGTTAAAAGGCAGTAAAGTAATTACCTTGGGACAACAACCTATCAGCTCTCTCTCTCTCTCTCTCTCTCTTCATGATTACAGATATCCTCAATATCACCCCATCTTACACTTCGTTTCTTCAAATCTCACTATAATCCATCCCTCACTGCTGTACTGTATTCTGATTGTACAATGTATGTACTAACCTTCCCTCTCTCCCTCAGGTATACCTGGCTCAACACAAATACACAGGAAAACAAGTAGCTATTAAAGTTATGTCTCAGTCCCGGATTTCCAGATATTTGGAGCTAGACGGACAGAGAGTCCCAGCTGAGATTGCTCTCATCGCTAACTTATCACACAGCTCTATTATTCAGGTAACTTGAGAACTTGTTAGTTGTTGCACGTGCAGCTGCACAGTGCACGCAATATTGTAGTGTTTCGTCTGTACCATGGTACACTATTCATTGTTTTTCTCCTCTTCTTTACTAAGAGTCGGTGAATTATATGTTTGGTATCACGTGCACATATATTAAATGATTTGACCCCGTGTTAGCTAGCTTAGAGCTGCAGGGTCTAAGATTGTACAGTGGCGAGTCATCTAGAAATTTGTAGGAAGTCCCTCAGCTGTGCGAACAATCTCATGATTAAACTGCTGCTAGTCACTTGTCGCGACGGCTCAATGCTCATGGTCGAACAGTAACACTGCACATTGGACCCGTGCCAAAGAAACCAAAACATTCGTACTTTCGGCTTTCGTTTCTGAACCAAGTCTGTGCCAAACTACACAAATCTACTCAAAACACAGTTTAATTAACCTGTTATCCCACTCCAATAGCAACTAAGATGTAGTAACCATAGTAACTAAGATATAGTAACCATGGTAACTAACACTCCTCCTCCCCTCAGTACATCGCTCACTTCAAAGTACCAGGAGGATGGTGCCTGGTGATGGAGTACCCTCACGGTTACCTCGACTTGTTCGAGCTGATCTGTGACAGAGGCAGACTTAATGAGAAACACACTCGCAAGATTATCAGACAGGTAAATAGTTCACTTCAAAATTCATTTCCTGTTTTTTTTGGTGCCAAGATCTTATATTTCCGTTCCATCTATATTGATCTCTCTAGAATATCTCTTCTCAAAAAAGATACGGTTTAACCAGAATATTCCGGCTATTTCTAGAAATCTAAGAAGTAACCCTTCCCATCTCGCAGGTTCTACAAGCTATAAACCACTGTTTAAAAAGTAAAGTGGATCACAGGGACCTGAAAGACGAGAACCTTCTCGTGAACCCTGACAACCTCCACGTCAAGCTGATTGACTTCGGGTCCGCTTCTCAACTGACAGATAGAGCTTACACCAGGTTCCAGGGAACTGATGTGTACCTGCCCCCAGAGTGGTACACCCGACACAGCTACATGGCTCTCCCTGCCACCTCCTGGGCTATTGGCTGTCTCATCTTCACCTGTCTCTCTGGAGACTCTCCCTTCGCTACTAGAGATGAGGTAATTATCTCTTTAACTTTTGTTGATTTCGCAACTTTTCTTTTGTTGTGTTCGGAGTTGGAAACCTTGTAATAAGCGGTTATATTTTAACGGTTTTTTAAACATGCACACTTAATACTAGATAGGGCCCACTTTTAGTACATCGGGCCCAACATGTCTCAACTAAATCACTCCTATGTATCTAGAACCACTTAGCACAGGCTCCAACCCCCTTTCAAAGACTCATCTACCATAAACAGCCAGTCTCGTGAACTCTAGTCGATATATTCGCTCTAAATAGGCTAGAGATCCTCTTTAAAACACACGTTTAACCTTCAGAGTTGCACAGAGAGTGAGTTATTAATCAGTGTGAGTGAATTAACAGGCGGCAGCATTAAAACCTGGGGGACACCTCAAAATAGTGGTGATCTCACGACCCCCTTAATATTATAGCAGCCTATCTTCGCTGAGATCACCTGTATAAATACACTGCTCTCCTTGATTAACAGTTATAAAGTCACGTGATATATAATATACCTGCACAGTGCACTGTGTTTCCGAGCTGTAACCATGTGTTTCTGTTAGTAACCATGTGTTACCCCTAGTTACACACACACACACACCTAATGAAACACACGTTATCACACACGTGTTTTCTACATGACAAAGGAGTCTCTCAGATCACAGCTAATAATACGCTTTACTTTAAGAGGAGGAGTACACATTAGAGTGTAGTATTGTGGCCACACCTCCCTGCTAGTATGCATTATCTTATTATGACGAGCAATAGTCACTGCTCTCTTTCTATGTCTATTGTCGTGGTGATGGTTGTTAGGTCACTGTGGTGATAGTTAGATCACCAGTGTCTTGTGATGTAGAGTTGTTGTGACCTTGTACTAAACACGTCATAACTCTCAAGGTTTCCAACTGCGGAACTATTATGAGATTTTTCCTTTTTGGAGTTTTAATAACATGTCTAAAAATATATCCTTGTGTTTAACTAACCTCTCCTATTTCTCCAGGTGAAGAAGTCCCAGATACCATGGGAGAAGCTCCCCTCCAACTTATCAGACAACTGTTTTGACATGTTGAAAGGATGTCTCCAGACGTCAGCTCGCCACAGGATCAACCTCAAGACCCTGGCAGCTCATCCCTGGTTACAAATGGACAGCTGAAAAACCGACTGACCATATATGGGCATGCTACCATGTATGGTCAAAACAACACTGCCATCCCGTGTTGAACTCTAGGATACAATATAAACTGCAGCCACTTTGATTAGGATATGGTATGGGTATATTTGATATACGGCTCAGACTTGGCGATGTTTACAGCTACTTCCGTTCATTACGATTACACTAATTATATGATTAATTATAATTATGCACATAATTAATTATGATTATGCACTAGACGCTTATCCGAAAGTTTCGTTAACGAACCTGGTGTTTTTGATTTAACAGGAGATTTTTTCTGCGGGTTTAACTTGATTGACTATTTATCTAATGGACCGACTTATCATTATGATGTAATATCACGTCTGATATTACTTCTACACGTTTATCAGTGATGATTATTATATAATTTGCTCTATACTCCTTTTATATAATTATTTATATATTCCATGTTTAATGTGAAATATTTTAAACAACTTTGTCAAGCTGGCAGACTTTCTACGTCGGCTAGATATATGTGGAGTCATGGCAAATCTGACCATCATTTAATCCGTTTTATTATTTTAAAATAGGCTTTCAAACCGTAAAGTCGAACATTTTAACTAAACTCTGTTACCAATTTTTCAGATGCAACTCTGCCGAGATTAACATTATATATTTCAATATGTGGTGGGATATATTAGTTAATGAACTAATTAATCAGTTAATTAAGTTAAAACTTGGCATGGTTTTCTTTTCTTTGTTTGTTTAGCGGGATCTTGTTTGATATCGTAGTATTTGGGGTGTAGATTAAGGTGAATTGTAGATAATAGCTAAAACTAAAACTAATTAGGTTCGCACTGCTAGTTAAAACACAAGTGTAGAATGTTACCACGGTAACAAATCATGTAATACGATGCTGGCTCATCTTCTCTTAATGTGCAACGAATTTTGTAATTGTTAATTATCTGACCAAGTGTCTGACACCACTTCAAACATCCCGGGTCTTCCCTCACAATTCTACCCTGACTCAACTCAGCTGAATTTCTTTAAAAACCCTTCCGGGGCATTAACATTTCCGGAAATAATGGTTAAAGTCGGGTGCCAGCTTGAATTCGGGAAGTTGGAAGTGCGTGTGCAGACTTATCAGTTCGAGATATTAACGTTAGTTTCACAACTCCTTCATAAATAATTCAATTTGACTACCCCTATATTTCCGTGCTTTAACTGGACCGTGAAATATCGGACCTAGCCGGATATCGTGTTGCTAATGTAGCACGGATATCGTGTTGCTAATGTAGCACGGATATCGTAATCTTGGAACTTGACCTTGAACTGATAAGGTTATCAGTTAATGATAAGCTAGACAGGATGAATCAAAATTAAGCTAACCTGATAAATGCCAGTGATGGATTGAGGTTGAAACGTGCCGAGATCAGGTCAGCACCAAGATTACGGGACCGGAGAATTTTATCCGTACTCTTACTGTCCGATTATATTTATTTTATTTATTTGTGTTATGTACCAATGTGTGACTCCAATGTGTAGGGTATGTTCGTGACCATGTAAGGGCATGCTACCATATATGGGCATGTTTCCATATATGGGCATAGTATTGTATACTAATTTACCAACTTTTTGTCTGAGCAACTAAAACACTAAGAAAAACTTAAATGCACGGCCAAAAACAACAAATATCACTGATGTGTGAATACCATATATGGGCATGGTACAGTCACGTGAGTAAAGGTGATGGTTTACAGTGTTCTAGTTGCTCAGTAAGATTACTAGGTGTACAAATGTGCTATCAGTGAATTTTGTGGCGAGTGACAGAATATGATCATGAGATAACGGCAACATTTCGACAATATTTGGTCCCAAAAACTCTCTTTTACCAGACTTAGAACTTTTCCTTAAAATTTAACGGGCGACGCCCTTTCATTAGCCATATTAGCAGTGTTGCCAAGTGCCCGTGACTACTGAAACCACGTGACATATTCTGAACACTCCGCCACAAAAGATAACCGCGACCTATTAACGACCACATCTCTTGTCTGAACTTAACCCAATCAGAAGCCGGCTTGCTATCCAACTAAACAATCCCAAGTAGCCGGCTCTTCATTCAACTGTTTAATAAGAGATGTGCTTTACTATTGTGTCTTTCATTGTATCTTAACTTGATATAATATAATGTTCACTTGTTATGAGACATATTATATACTCTGAGGCAATGTTCGGGTTTTATTTGTTTCTCCATAATAGTTGTTCTAATTTCGCGAATATTTTGGAAGGAATACTGCGACCACGCGGTTAATAATAATCCAGAAGCTCAATAGAAGGAAAAACGAAACATACTTATTCTGAAGAACATAGTAGATTCCAGAACTTGAAATTCCAGAACTTGAAATCAAAATTGTTGACCTTCTGAGTCTTATATCGTCATAGTGATGCTGAAGAAGAAAACAACCTGATGTAATGATGTAATCCTGCTCCCCTTTTCTCACTACTGCATACCAATACTAATAGCTACAGTAATACTAGCAGTGATCACATGTTTCCGGTCCCTCAGACCTGCGCTGCACTTCCCGGATATCAGTGTCATTGAACTTGAAAATTTGGTGGCTTCTCGCATTGTACTGATATAACATAAGGAACTTTAGGAACTATTAGCGGAGATTTTAACCGCTGGAGTATCACCCGGATATGTGCTCTTTTCTGTAGAAAGAGTTTAAATGAATCATGCGGTTTATGAGTGTTTTATGTGTGACATTTTTGTGATAGCTAACGATCATAACAGCTGATGCAAAGTTTGCGGAAGTGATTTCTTTAAACGGAGATCCTGTTACCAGTATGCAAGGATCGACCGGGACCGCTTTTTTGGCCGAGACCGGCACTACTGGCAGTATGTACTATGTACTATGTAAGTTTTCTACCGATGAGAACACTTCCGAAATCAACTACTAAAGGAGCAATTTTACCAGAAAAATCAAACTTTTCGCACGCCGTGGCCATCTCCAAGTCAATTTTAACCAAAAAAAGAAGATCATGCCAAAAAGTCATGAAATTCCTTTACCCTTTCACAAGACTACAGCAAATCGACCGTATGAGAAATGTATTCTATTGATCGTCCCATTTATAATGTAAATGTATAGGATAACAATCTCAACATTCAATCTAGCACCAAAGCCTTCAGTCTACACGAAGGATGAAGGATCAATAATTTGTCTGTCCAATCACAAGCTGGAATACACACCACGTGACTTGTTTGTGCTAAGTTTGGACACAAATCTCCTGACACCGAATATAAATTTTGAAGTTACTTTCCTGGGAATTTTTGCTAGTTCTATCGTTATTACAACGTCTCCGTGTTAGTATAGTGGTGAGTATACCCGCCTGTCACGCGGGTGACCAGGGTTCGATTCCCTGACATGGAGTTCTTTTACTGCTGAGTATAAGTTGTATCTTAATAGTGGTGCACCACAGAACTGACCATTAATAATAATAAATACTTCAATTTATTATTATTAATGTTCAGTTCCGTTGAGAAAAATATTACCATTTTATCGTGTGACCAGCAGAGACCATACCACGGATGTTTCTCAAAAGGATTTCCGGTTACCAGTACGGCAATGAGTTTGTGTAAGGACATGTGTAATGCCTTACAGGGGACGTATCAGAAAAGCTAAAAGGAAGTTAGTGAGCAAAATTTTGGTCTACTCAATTTTGTGTCCATGACAATCGCGATTCGTTTGCTGCGGTGGCTGATCTTTTAGCTGAGAGAATTCTGTTTGCTTGCTCGGTAGCGAGGTTACAGCACCAGTTTAATTTGAATGTCATTTGAATGTGGAGAATGATGTTGTCTTCCTACGAGGTTGCATTTCGAAACGAAACACTCCAGGATAGGGCCTATACAATGTCACCAAGTGACAGACTCAGTTCGCGGTAATATCGGCATTATCAGTCAATTACTGTTCGATTCAACTGATAATATAAATCAAGAGGCTTGCATATAATGAACATATTGACACGGGTGCAGAGTTGAGTCTGTACGGAACCTAGTAGTTTCAGATCCTTGTTTAACTTGCCGTACAGCAAGGTCATCCACTACTTTGTCCGGCGAGGCACATAACTCCCTCTACAACTCCATGACAAATGTTTCATATATACTAGCCGAGTTCACAAGATATATCCTTGTGTTTGAGAAGAGCTCGTTAGAACTGCTTCCTTTCCCTTCAGTATCCCACAGTCTCTCGAGTTTCGTAACTGCCAGAGAACTCTCTTAAACAATTACTAGACTCGGTGATTATAAATCAAGAGGCTTGCATATAATGAACATATTGAACATATATACAACGCGCGCGCTAATTAAAGTGCTCGAGAGCGCACAAAACCCTAATCAATAGCTATTCGCGCGTTCCAGCTTTATGTAACGCGCGACCTGTAAACATGATACGATTTGACAGTTTTATGCACTGCGAAATAGTTAATATTTTCAGGCCTCAGGGGATTATTCCCAAAAATTTACAATCCTAGGCGTTCACGCTCTCAAAGCATAATAACGAATACGCCCATAAAAAATGATATATTGTTTAAGTACTTGTACAACGAACATAAACTAAGTACAACGAACATAAACTAACTAGGAAACATATGAAACAAGACTTACTGTACAGTTCTGAGCATGGGAAGATGAGATATAAACTCCAAATCATCTGTGTAAATAGTGTAGTCGTGGTTATCTAGAAGACGTGGTATCTGCGATTAGTGTCGGTCAAATGTTGATAATAAAAGGCTCGAGTGGAGAACGGATATAATACCGTTAACTAAAGAACTATTAATTAATAAAACAATTACATATTACAGAGAATATATTGTATTCTGCTCAATAACTTAATAACTTTGATTCTACATATTTGTCATAGTAAATGTAAAAAAGTGAAGATATTTGGTAAAGTGTGTTTGTAAAGAGCAAACCTCTCTGAGTATATTGTCGAACATTCTGGAAAGAGCTAGAACCTTCTCTTGATCGGGATTGTGTTTATCACCGTCAAACAACAATACCTGTAACAGTTTAGTAACACTTTTCAGCTTTCTTATTATAAACGTGGGCTATGAAATGTTGATATTAACAGTGCCACCCACTAACACTCGCCATCCAACATTAGGAGTAACCGTTACTATGGTTACATCACTGGTAACGTTACTATGGTTACTATGGTTACTGACAATCTCTTCATTAAAAGATCTCCTCACACTTCCACAACCTTTCAGTTTTTTCTAATTCTTACTATGTTAGTATAATAATGTATGTTCTCTACTCTCATATCAGGCAATGATTTGCACATACCTACTGTTAACCCACTAATCAGGATTGGTCAATATCAAAAAAGCTGAAGCAAGTAAGAGCTTTAAACGCACGTGCAATTTAGCGGAATGCACGTGTAAATATCGCACGTTTTCAGGAATTTTAATGAAATTTTTAATTAACTTATGAAGTGAAAAAGGAAATGAACAGACAATAACTCACGTGTTCATTGGAGGGCAAGTCACTGAAGCTTGATGAAGGAGCAGATGTGCAGTCAGGAGTGCAGTATAGCACACAGGGAGGTTTCTCAATAGCTCGGCGTGGAGCACGTCTTCTGAACTGCAGGGAAAGGGTATAATGTATGTGACCTAACTCATTTTATGTTTTAGTCAATAAAACAAACAACAAACACTGACTGAGCTCATGTCTAGCAACGTAGCTTTTTCTCTTTTTTTCTCAATCTTTAAACCAACAACTAATGTTTTCCTATGAAAAAACAGGGAAGAGGATGGAAAACCAACGGGACGGATGGCTAGCCGGAGAGAAAAGATGGGATTATAATGAGGCAGTGTAATAATAATTTAACACAATTCTGTAGCTCCGTAGATGCTATTTGCACGGTTATTCTCACCACAAATTCTTAACGATTTATTTTGTTTAAAGGATTCTGGATGGCATATATTTTGGTTAATTTTTGTCAGGTTTCAGAAAAATATGCCTCACCTCCCGGCTCCCAACAGGAATTTACATCTGTAAGCCTTTAAAATTTTGAACCACGAAAATGAAATAAAGCATTTTTATCCCGCTTATATCAACAATCCAAATAAAAAATAAAGATTGCCGATGTCAAAGCGGCTGGCCTCGCGATATAATCCAAAAACTAGATACTCAATATATGAAGATACTAGTAACAAATATAAAAACCAAAAGTACTTATTTGACTTTTTTTTATAAATTTATCACACACGGTAAAAACTTATGGACGTATATCACTCATTATCATGTATCACTCTCTATCATCTTGTCCTCACTACAAATATTACCACTTCTGATATAATAATGTTTTTTAGTGTCTTCTTTGGCTATCTGTTTCATTTCCAAGACCAACCGCTGATGGATAGCTCGATCTTCAGGTGATCGATCTGGAGATATGATAACAGTTTTGTGATCTTCACACAGTCTCAATTTTTTGGCATTTACTAATATCTGATGAACGGTACTAGAATTACCTAGCGAAACTTTTACTGGTCTCGTCTTGTCGGCTGATTACCTCCCAACCCGGATAGCTGCAAAACGTGGTTTTTCTTCAATCTGTTGAAGTATTGCATCCACCCAAGGATTGCACACATAACAGTAGGTTTATATTCTTTCATATTTACAGTTTATTTTTTGATGGGATCGAATCGAATCGGAAAGAAAGTGAATTTATTGGTTATCCCAACTTTATCATTCAACACCAGCGTAATACTTCTAATAACGTATGGTGTGAGTTGAAATGGTTCAGTGATTCTCTTCACGCCTTCTGGGTAACTGAACAATAAGCTTTAGTAATATAGAGAATATGGAGGGTGATGCAAACTACAAACAAAACAAACAGTAGTTTAGTGAGGCGTGTAACAAGGTTACCATGGTAACAAGGTTACCACTCATCACCAGATAGAGGTTTGGGTAAACTAACTCCCACTATTTAAACCCTGTCCTCCACCTCAAACCTCACATTTTACATTTTACAAACCACCGCCTAAAGTATTCAAGATGTTGAAAGCAGTACTAGTGGTAGTTTTGGTAGCGAGCTCCATCGCTGGGGACGACTTCGATGACGGCATCAACTTCAGGATCCTTAAGAAGAACTACTTGAACAAAGATCTAGCAGGAGGGCTGAGGTTCGGAGTGGGGTACGGGGTGAGTTTGGAGAGCCTAGACCCAGATCAAATCTCCTTCAAGAAGTACACAGGAGGAAGGTATATGGATATAGAACGATCTCAGCTTGGTAAAGTGGACCTCAAGCCGTACGAGGAGGCGTTCTGTGACTCTGATCACGAAGATGACTACGACCCTAACGACGGAGAAGTAGATGAGGACTGTTTCCCGGCTATTAAAGGGTTCATCTCAGTAGAGAGCGCATCTTGCGAGCTAGCGGGACGATACGTCCTGAGTTACAAGGGAGCCAGTAAACGCTTCAATATCATCGTGAGACAGTGTGGTAGCAGATACGACTGGTTTGAGGATGACTACTGGAGCGACGGTGAGACCGACATGGAGTTTGAGAACTTCTACAACGAAGAGCAGAACGAGAATGAGACCTTCCTGGGAGTCAACGAGGACAACTTCATGAACAACGGAATTTACGGAGGATTCAGAGTGAGGGTGGGGGCTGAGAACCTGGACCTGGAGAAGCTGAAGTTGTACAAGGAAGGGAGCGAGTCTCTGCCTGAAGGAATGTCTCTCGATAAGAAGATCTACGAGCGGACCTGTGATGACCAGTCAGATGACTCAGACGACTCTGACTCCGATGATAACGAGAATAAGATCTGCAAGGCTGCTATCTACGGTTTCATCACCGCCTCCCCCGCCGAGTGCTCTATGGACGGTGACTATTACTTGGAGTACGACGGTAAGAAGGTAGAGTTTGAGGTACATGTGAAGTCCTGTGGTAATGATGATTGGGACGAGTACGAGTCTGATTATATGTATGACTCTGATATGGACGACTAAAAGTGCTGGTGGTGTGTATTAACTATTAAGGTTCATGCCTCATATTTATTTTGCAAGTTCTAAATTTTGTTTTCCTTGTATGTAGAACTGGATCAAAGGATCATAAATTGAAAAAGTTTTCTCTCCCGCCCAAAATAGCATTCACTTTCTGTACGGTGTTTTCAAGACCAGATCTTTGATCGAACTCCTTCACAATAATAAATAAAACAATACCCCACCAGAGCTCTAATTTCACATATAACAAAGAGAAACAATGATCTTTGAGAGCAAATAACTGTGCAGTACAGACCACACAGCTGTATTTAATTAAAAGAGAAGTTGGCGAAGATGCCCGATAAGCTGATGAAGAAGCACGTGAAGCATTCAGGTAACTTCTTTAAGCTGGAATATACAAAGGAGAACCAAGTCTTTCACTCAAGGTGAACCAGCTGCAATGCCCAACTACCCGGTTCAATAGATTACAATTAGAAGCACCTCTCTTTGAGCTGCCTATTATAATCTATTGAACTGAAAAAAAGGCGTTTTTCTCATAGTTTATAAGCACCCACGTGAACAACAAAGAACCACCTGGCTGTAGGAGTAAATATTTCCCCCTAACTTTAAGAGTTTAAAAGAAGGAGTCACTTTCGCTGCAGTGATCTACAAATAGGTCTACAAATCAATTGCAGACCTCTTTTTACCATGCCATTTTTAAGTTCAACGGGCCTATTTCTGTTTCTAAACTATTTTTAGTTTTTCATTAAATTTTATAAGGAATCGATTAATGATGGTTATGGTTTCGGAACTCAAAAATACTTTCTTCTCCTTTGAGGACTTTAAAATTGGGTTGCATACAATAAAAGGTAATTTACTATTTTGGCCCTTAATTCAAAATTACACAATGTTTCTGGCGTAAAATTTAAATAAAATCCTATTAATGATGGTCTTCAGGACCCCAAAAACACCGCCTCCCTCCTCAGGGGACCTAATAGGAGAGACCCAAATCTCGGTTTAATTCAAAACCTGCTAAATTTTCGCATCTCTGTGTGAAATGTCGATGTACTAACAGTTCAAGCCACAGTTGTTTATCAAATAGCTTCTCTTAAAGTCACTTACGGCATCAAGTGAGGTTTAAACCTCAATCCTGTGAGGTTTCAACGACAGAAGTCTATTATTGATGAGGATTATTTGATTGTTTTAACTGACTTCTATTGTTCCGTATCTGACATCACATTTTAGGAAGAATGAAGGTTTTACTGTTCGTGTGTTGCGTAGGTGCTCTAATTGCTACTGTTGTATCTCAGAGTGGTAGTCGGAGAAGGAATTCTAGCAGTCGGAGAAGGAGTGGTGATTGTAAGTGATCTTCACTGTTTTACTGATTCCAACTGTTTTACCGTGATTTTCACTATTTTACCGTGATTCCAACTATTTTACCGTGATTCCACCTATTTTACCGTGATATTCACTGTCTTACCGTGATTCTAACTATTTTACCGTGATCTTCACTGATTTACCGTGTATCACGGAGAAAATGTTGTTAAATTTGATTAGTAAACAGTAGGAACAGGAAAGATTTGTCAATTAAAACTAATTTTATTCAGGTGTATCTAGAAATGGGGGCTGGTCCGAATGGGGTTCTTGGAGCGAATGCGACATTCGAGATGATATGCCGTATGCTACTAAGATCAGTATAAGATACTGCAACAACCCTGAACCTTATTGCGGAGGAAGTGAATGTTCAGGGAGCAGAATGAGGACTGAGGAATGCTCTGAAGGTCAGCAAATATTCTAAGAATGTTTACATATCATCTTATTGTTCGCAGTGACAACTCAGTACCTGATCCCCCGGCTGTAGGACTGTAGAGCGGGGGACTCTAGAGCCGGGGACTGTAGGAAGTACTTGGTCGAAAGTAGGACCCTAGAGCAGGGTCAAATCGCCAGGGTAGGACTCTAGAGCGGAACTCCCTTACCGGACCCATACTATGAGGACTCTAGAGCGGTACCCACATGCAAATTTTAGAGCGGTTAGAAATTTGAGAGCGGACTGTAGAGTGGACTTGGTCGGAAGATCGAAATCAGATTAGATACAACTCGTGATTGATTATTACAAGATTCGTGAGATTAGAATAAGTCATGGAGTTGTTGAAGCAGAAAATTGTCCAAGATTATTTATATTATACATCATATATAATATCATATTGTAATTTTTAGATACGTTAGACAATTGTTCTTCCATTTGACTGAAATATCCTCATGCTACTCTAAAATGCAAAAATTTTCTTCGATAAAGAGGTATAATTATGAACTGGTCGTATCGATGTGATTTCGCTAAGCGAAATACCGACCAAGTACGTGCACTCAAGCAGATCATTTAGGAATGAGGATCTCATCGAGTCATCGCGTGACACTTTAGCACCTACTAAGGGTATCTCATGTTCAGTCTGGTGACAGGGTATGATCCAATCTTCAAAACTAACTTTACTCTCAAATTTCTAACCGCTCTAAAATTGGCATTGTGGGTACCACTCTAGAGTCCTCATAGTATGGGTCCGGTAAGGGAGTTTCGCTCTAGAGTCCTACCCTGGCGATTTGACTCCGCTCTAGGGTCCTACTTTTGACCAAGTACTCCCTACAGTCCCCCGCTCTAGAGTCCCCCGCTCTACAGTACTGCTCCCGATCCCCCCCCCCCCCCCCCCCCCCCCACAGAGAGGACAGGTCAACTCAAACTTTCTTCTCTTGATTCTAGGATATAAATTAATACATCTTTGCTGGCCTTCTATTCTGACATTTCGCCGTAGATGATTCTGAGATTATTCATTCTATTATACAATTTCTTTTCAGATGGTGATCACGAGGAAGATGAGAATTCACTTGAGGTAGAGTTTGGAGGAGTCAAAGTGGATATGAACCTCGGTGAGATTAAACAACAGTGGGATCTTTTCGAGTAACTTGTAGCATCAATGTAACGATGGGAGAGTAGTTACGAGCATGGGGGAGAAGACACGTTTTAACAAAACTCAAAATGATAAATTATTTATTAGAATCTTGCTTTGTAGATTTTTGAAGCATCTAGGCGTGCGAATATCGTTTGAAATCAAACTTTATTCTTTGATAGAGGGAATGCGAAGGATTGGGTTGATCATTTATAGAGAATAATATTGTGATATTAGTAAAGTATGAAACTTTATATGCTTAACATTATGAGTATAATTTGTTGAGCATTTACCACTGGGGCGAACAGGAGTACTTTTTGATAGAAGCAAATAGTATTTAATTGGTGTGGAATACAGCTGAGTTGACAAAATTAATAGAATTAAGGGACCGAATTTTGTTGTTTGTTGATTTTAAAACTGCACATAAAATATGTTTGGTCAATGGTCTTCAATAAGCCAGAGCAATTACAAGTGCCTGGCTTATAACTGTAACTGCAACGCTAGTATGTCATACTACGCTAGTACATGTCATACTACGCATATTGCACATCTAATGTAGAGACTCTCTTTTCTAACAACAAGAAGTGTCTTACGAGTTCAGAGGACCCGAAGTAATAATTGGTCTGACAAAACTCAGAACTAAAACACTAAAAGATTACACACAAAAATCCAATCGTCTACAAGATACCGATCAAAGAAGAAACATATTTCTTACTTGCGGTGGAGGGGTTGAATTCTTTTTATTGGACGGTGGGGGAATTGTAGAAATCTCGGTAACTGGTCGACATCTTGCGACACGATGTGATAACACTGAAAAGATTGATAAAATAACGATTGAGAAATTTCCTACTTTCATTTCATACTGTATTACAATTATGAAACATAGGTTTTTAAAGATTGGGCGACATCTGTCCGACAGCGACATCTGTCCGAAAGCTGAATTAGGGATTTCGGACAGATGTCGCTGTCGGACAGGAGTCGTTTTTGGCGACATCTGTCCGAATTTCGGATCATATTGTAATTTCGGTTCACATTCGTATTTCACAAGCTCACGGGTAATCTCGTGACGTTCTAAAGCTGATGTGATCCCTTAAGATCTGATCCATCGATACGTGATTGACTAGTTGAGAACAGGATCGTGCAGGTGAAGGTCGGAAGTAGGACTGCAAATAAACTGTGGTAGTAAACTATAGCTCAGATCATATCTCAAATTGGACATGTTACGTATACAATTTAGCAAGTAACAGTTTAGATCATGTCTCTAATTGGAAATGTTCACAATTTCGGACAGATGTCGTTTTTTTTTGGTACCCTGATTCGGACAGATGTCGCTGTCGGACAGATGTCGCTGTCGGACAGGAGTCGTGTTACCGTTTTAAAAGTCAAAGTATTTTATTGTCAATACAGTCAAACCCCAATTTACTTGAATTCTACAAAGAAACACCGTTTTCAAATTTTTCAGATGGACTAGAACTTTGCAGTTTATCCACCTATGCAAGCAACTAACATCAATATATTTTCTAAATTTCGAAATTCTGGTCAAAGGCAGTTAAACCTAACAGACGTGAAAGTATTAACATCTTCATTGTTCACCATGAATTATCAAGTACATAATATTATTATCTTACTCCAGCTAGAGTATATTATCATAATATATTCAACAGTTTAATTTACCAGCAGTCGGGAGAGCAACTTGTCGTATCACTACATCCTTTGTTTTGCCAAAAATCTGTGGATTCATAACTTTTCTGAAATATTCAGTTTGAATGGTCGCTGAATAGAAAAATTTTATTGGGTACATTTTAAATCGATTCGGCAATAAGACAGTTTAACGATCACGAATTATTTTCAACATTTTTGTAAGTAGATATTATGACTATTTCAAGCCTATTATAGGCTACTATATACATATATTATGATTGAATTTGAGACGATAACTTGAAAATAAAAACCGATCTTGAACTGTACATATGATTACAATAGATACAATATTATGAAGCAAATATAAACGCAATGTCATGCAATATAATCATTTATGAAAGTTTCTGCCCACACAAACTGTATATAAAAAAAATGAAAATCAATTTCATCAATTATGCATGTCAAATTCTAAAATATAGTAAATAAGATTAAAATTGTGTCTGTCATAACTAACTACAAACTGATATAATATAATGTGTAAATAAATAGTTGATTCCAAAGATATCATAATATAACATTACTAAATCAAACCAACCTCCTTCAAAACCTGTGCCTACCATGCTTATTGTCTAACAATAAAGATCAATTTCCTTCAAACACTTGTGCCATAATCAGGAAAATAACACAGGCAAAAGTGGTAATCACCTTTAAGAATGAGGCAGTTTCCCTTACAAGACCAAGCAATGCTTCTAACAGGTCCGAGCTCCCCGGCTCCGCTCAATGTCTCACAATTAGGAACTTTTAGTGCCAGGACACCTGATGAGCTCCATATATACACATGATCGGCATTGCAGCACATCGCTAGGATTTCATCTTTGTCTTTGGCATGTAGAGGATCCCAATCAAGTGTCACCACTGGAGCTTGGTGGACGATCAAAGAGCAGAGGGACAGATCCTCCATGTCCCAGATCCAGACTACACTTGGTGCTGAATCACACCGTGTTGCTAGATACCGTCCAGATGCTGAAAATGCTGTTAGACCAACACCAACCAGCAAATATGGATCATCGTGATTTGCTTTGACAAATGGCAGTTCAAAGTTTTCATTGCTATCTTTTATTGCAAACCTGCTGCCACTATCACTGAATTCTTCAGCATACACAATAGTGTTCTTTGTTACAGCGTCAGTTGTATGCTTCCACTCCTTCAGAATACTCCAGGTCACACTATTCAGAAGTTTGCATGTTCCATCATAGCATCCCAGTGCAGCAAATTGTTCTGAAGAGGATGGTGAGACACACTTGACACCAAGCTTGTTGGAGTACAGATCAATTTTAATCTGACAAATTCCTTTGAAATTATAAACGAAGTAACGAGGTGTAAGATGAGAGTCACAGACAAGAATTGCATCATTGATAACATGACAACTTTCCAAGTCATCAGTGCCAACTTTGAAATTACACTGGAGTGTCCAGTCAGAGTATTTGAAGATACTTATGTAATCTTCTCTGTCTCTTCTTTCGCAGATAATAGCTTGTTTCTTGTAGAAAATACACCCAGCAGAGTTGAGCTTGGGATTTTGGATGTAACTTACTCGCTTGTGATTTAGAGACCATACATTGATCCTCACACCAAATTCAGACCAAGTCAGTATCTGCTTGGAATCTGGACACCACACTGCATCAACTAACCCAGAGGAACCTTCATCCAACTTTGATGCACAAACTGAGTTCTGTATAGTCCAGAGCTGAGATACGCCCCTTTTGAAACACGAGGAAAGAAGTGACTTACTATTTGGAGCCCAGGTTACCTTGTCTATTGTATCTATGCAGGTCAAAACAGCAACAATCTGCAACGTTTCGAATTCTCGGACAACAAGTCGAAATTGAGACGCATTAGCAATATACCTTCCATTTGGAGAGAAATAGCACTGTCCTTTGGTAAGCTTAAATGTCTCAGAAAGATTTATACCTTGAGATGTCATGAACACAAACTTTCTAGGAGTAATTATTGTGAACTATCATTTTTAGAAGAACATTATAATTGGCAGGAGACTAATAACGGTAGCTCCATGAAATAGAAAATATCATTTAATTTATATTATTCAAAACAACTATACAATCATGGGCTGAGTGTGACTGGTGTGGCAGCTATGTACAGTGACAATCAAAAAGTACAATCAATCTTAGAACATTTAAGTATGATAAAGAAGTCTACTGAGACAGAAAGTTGTGTCAAATGTGCATGCTTAAACTAAATGCAGCACCACAAATCTAATAATTTGTTGAGAATGTTACAAGGAGCAAATTTAATGCAATTCAAATCAATAGAATCTTGATCCTTGAATATCAAGACTGCTGCAATTTTATCAGGTTAAATATAATAACACAGAAGAATTGCTCTAAAGCAGCAACAAAAATCCTAAAAAATCAAATACTCAACTACCCAACATAACATAACATTATAAATAATGCTTCTCTGGGCATCTCAAAAAAGAAATTCACAGAAAATGAACAAATTACCCAAGCTCAAAATATTCAAATTACTTTCAAAGTCATGTGTGAACAAAATTGAGAATACCCATAGCTTCTACCTGGAAAAAAGCTGCTAGCAAATTCCAGGATTAAACGATTTGCAATGTGCAATTACAAAAAGAGCACATTCAGCTAGCAACGAGCACATTCATCATCGTTAAGTCAAAAATAGAACGAATCACCAATTTAAAACCGGCAAAATGTGTTCTAACGAGAATTTTGTTTTAGCGCTCGATTTATTATTTATAATTGGTACATCGTAAGTTTTAAAACGTGTGCGCGGCGCAGTTTAAGTTTTTATGTTCGTTTTTGACATACTAATTTTAAATTAAATACAACACTACAAATCTATTACATTTATTGAGAAAATTATGTAATGTAACGCGATGGAAGTTCTTTAAGCGGGCAATTCCAGTCCAAACCCTGAATACATGACGTAAAAGATTCGTTTTCACTTGTTTGCATAAAAAGCATTATAATACGTTGCATGCCACTTTTCGCGCGCCGATACGTAACATGTATCAAGTTCGTTTTGCGTTTATCATTTGCATGACTCGTTTTGTTTTTGACGGATGTTACTCGTCTAAATTTCTTCGAAGTAGCGCGCGCCGCTTTCTTCTCGAAATGTTAAAAGTAGCGCGCGCCGGGCCAGACCATTAACAATGGTCAAGTTTTGTTTCAATAACTAAACACCAACAAAACTTAATGAATTTTTAAAAACATTTTGTACATTGCAATAAATTCATGAATATTGCCTTGTCGTGAAGGTACCAAAAATGAATTATGGTCAGTATTTAAACAAAACAATTTTTACAATCATTACATTAATTCAAATTTAATTGACAAATTACTTAACGGGTGATACTCATAAAATATCTGTTCCAACTCGGCACGCGTCCTGGTAGGTTGTAAACATACAACAAATTACTGATTATTTTATTGTCATACGTTGTATGACCCGCCGCGCACGAAGTGCGCGGCTCCCCCTGTATAGTGAAGCGACCGTATAGTGAAGCGACCGTGGGGGTCACCACGTGATACAATTATTTTACAGTCACACTGGTAAATAACGCAATTATTAACAATTAAGCAAAGTTTAATTGTGCGTGGTTTAAATTCATTTAGATATCTCTGATATGACAGACAATTTAAAATTATAATAATATATAATACCTTTTTATAGTTTTACTTTGATTTAAACCCAAATCACAACTATTCGTAACTCATAGTTTAGTTAATAGTTATATGGCCATGTCACGTGATCGAAAACATTTTCGTTATGAAAATTAATGATTAACGAACGTGTGATATTTGTAAAATATTTCTTTCGATCTACTAAGACTGTCACGTCGACGAAGCGAACTTTGCTTTGCTGTACACGTTATATACCTAATCACTCGACACTCATTCCACATTCGGCCGCGAAAAGATCAGGCGATGATGATTATAATCACTATACACTCGACTGTCACGTGACCTTTTCAACCCGATCTCTAGCTGCTCTGAACGATTATTCGAAAACCTAACCTTCTAATCTGATTTCAATCCGTAACAAATAAAGCATATGCTGAAACCCTAACGAGAAATTATACCAATTTCCTTATACCATATTGATATATGGTCATATCACGTGATTGAGACAGTTTTCGCCAATATACGAATATCTTGCCAGGGGAGCATTTAATTTTAACCCCTATGCCTATGTCATGGGGGGGGGGGGGGGGGGGGGGGGGGGGGGGTGATTCGGAATCAGCGTCTGAAAATACACCGACTCAGATTATTTTCATATTCTTAGGGCTTTTTCGCAAGAATTTTCTTAAAATTTGGGTGAGCGATTTGTTGGGGGTCAGGCTTGACGGATGATGCTTCTCGAAATTTTAGTCGGAGGCAAGTGCTACGAAGGCTCAGGCTTACTGCTTACTGGTTTAGATTACGTAGTATTCAGCATGCTGGGATGTGGGAGAAGTAGTATAGATTAATTAAGAATTTAGTTACGGATGATGTGGAAATGGGAAAGGGGATCGGAGGTCCAGATTGCAGATTGGGTGATTTAAGAAAGACTATGGGACCAATTTCTGATAACTTTATTCGTGATTAACAAAATAAAAATCTATTTGAAAACAATTTAATTATTGATACATAACATTACATGTTGTCATAACACTTTCAGAAGAGAGAATATTTTATATTAATAACATTTACTACGTTGCATTTTTTATATAATGTATTATATCTTCCAACAAAAATAAATTCTTTGAGTGTTAACTCTCCGATATGAAGCAGAAAATTAGTGACCAGTTGTGGAACGTAATTGAGCGACTTTTTCAGCTCTCGGATGACCTCAAATTTTCCTGCCGTCAAATCGGTAATACGAAATTTCAACTTTGTAGCACGTGAAAACTAATTTTACTAAGCGGAAAATACTGCCACTTTCTGTGTCATTTTCAAGATCAAATAGCCACTCTGCAATGTACAATTAATTTAAAGGGGTGACGCTCCGGTGCAGCAGCTAGTAAACGGTTACTTTACGACACAGAAAGCTAGTCTTCTAGAAAGTAGCTGTAAAAATTAAAATCACCCCGACACAAGTACTGGCATTCAGAGTTCACAGACATTATATTATATATCAAGTAGCCAGAGTCACACTAGTAAATTAATCATGTATAACTAGAACAGTGCGCTATACAGCTTGTTATGATAACAAAATGTTAATAATGTCAACAATATGAGAACTAATTTTACGTTTTTTCCGAATGTATCAGGATTAAACTGAAGAAAAATAGATTGGAGTGACGTTGGAAGAATAGGTGAGATGAGAATTAAAAACTGTCAATAACAATTATAATAACTGATAAAAACAAAATCTTTAATATTGCAGTATAATTATAAGCACCTTATTGAATATTGCCACGAGCAGTATACGGCCAATTCAAGAATTTTCGTATTATATTAATATTATTAATGTAATCATTATATGCTACCCCTATCATGTCATTTAACTGGACATTTAAGAAATTGCCGCAACAGAAGTGTATTGGGAAAACAACGTGTACTATTACATTCTACATTAAACATTGAGTCAACATGGCATGTGATGGGAATTCCAAAAGGGGAGCGGCACTAATTAACTAATTATCAATTGATAAACTAATAATTAATTAATTACTAATCAAATTTTATATCATAGATCCACTGTAAAACAAAGGTGTTCTACAGTACAGCAGAGCTCTCAGTTTGATACAATACGTCAGTGCTTGATTCTAGTTAATCTACAACTTAAAACTATTAACAAAAGGCCATCATTCAAATATATTAGTGGCATTCCAAAAGGAACAAAGTGGAAGTCATTATATTAAACATCCTTATAACATAATATTAAACAATGAGTTAGACACAGTAAGACGAGTATTCAGTAAGCATTCCCTGACATCTCGTTTATATCAACTGATAATACTATTATCATTGCAAGTCTAAAGGGCACGTTCAATCGACACTACTAGACCATAGAGCGGTACACACGGCACGCGGCGCGCTACACGGCACGGGGCGTGCTTCTCAACACGAGGACTCAATTCACCTTGATTCTTCAAGTTCAACTTGATGATCTTGTCACTCTCACACAGGATAGATATAAGCTAATCTCAATATATAAGTCTCGCTACGCTAGAAGTCTGCAAACTCTTTGATGCACTTTTCGTTCGCCGATATCCTGAGTGGTTCCTCTTCATAGTCGTCAAAGTTGCTGGCATCACCAGGTCCGCGACTACGAGGGATGAAGGGCGCCTCCACCTAGGGAAATAAAAGGTCATATATTGGCATCTTGCTGAATCCTGGATTCACGGTATTATTAACTGGTAAAATCAGCTAAATCTAAACTAAAAAGTTGACGAAAGTATCTGATATATAGACGGGACAATCCCAAATTTTAAAAATAAATGTGTTTCAACCATAATTGGCTTACTAATCATGTAATTATTTAATCGGCTAGAAACGAACCTTTCTCTCGTAAACACTTATGTAATCGATGCTTTGCATCCATCTGCTTTGCTTGATATCCCATACTCCGTTCTTCAAATTACCGTATCGCTTTGTCAGATCCACTTGAAGCAGTGCCTTCAACAGATCCTTCAAATCTTGAGTGAAATGAGCAGGGAATCTCACCTGAAAGATCAAGCCATTATGTCACAATAATATGCGGTATGGTCGAAGTCGACAAATATTACTAAAATATTACAAATAGTTTAACTCTGGGTTTAAGAGAAATGGTTAATATAAAGGATATAATTGAACTTGATAAAAGTTAGGCAGCGCCTAACATTTTATGGTAATTACTCTATTATAAATGCATTGCTGCTAGGCTGAGAAGAAGGCTATATTTTTACTGAAATCTGAATAGACTCACCCTCCCTGAGACGATTTTCTCGTATATCTGGATGGGCTGGTCGGCAAAGAATGGAGGATACCCAGCCGCCATCTCGTAAATCAGAACACCTAGTGCCCACCAATCAACAGCCTTGTTGTATCCTTTACTCAGAATGATCTCCGGTGCAAGGTATTCAGGGGTTCCACACAGAGTCCAGGTTCGTCCTCTCACTCGCTTTGCAAAACCGAAATCTGTAACCTGAACAGAACAGAGAGTCAGTTTCATGACACGTATTGTGACACACTAAACACTCATGAAGATTGAAGATGTTAAACTATGACTAAAACTCCGGATAATATGTTGATATGGTTCTACAGAATCAAGTTATTGTGGAAGACTGCAGTTGAAATTATTAATAGACGAAATTTGATCTAGCATCTCCTTATCGAACGTCTAGCCTGGAAATGGAGGTACACGATCTAATGAGAAGTCGGGAGTATTCGCTTTACGTGAGACACTTATATTAATCCCGATTCGTACACAGAAGTGTACATCACGTACGTACTTAAACCCGTGTTACAGAAATAAAGGATGCGCGCGCTGCGCGGAGTTCTTGAGCAAATAACAAAGGAATGTCAGCATAACAAAGATGTTATCGCGCGTGCGCTCAAGTTGCTTATTTGAAGCCTCAGAATTGACCGTGATCTTACAAATATTGTATTCTACAATCTACATCGGATGCATTAACACTTGAAGCACACAACGCGACCGGGGCATTTTTTTTCTCTAAATGGACTCGATTATCGACAAAGTAAGTAATGTATTTTGAAATGAACAATTGAGCGTTGCTTTAGCCTCTAGTTGATTAAGTTGTACGTGAATATTTCTATCGAGCGTATTTTGGTTTATAAGTGACAGCGTATTATTTCTTTTATTCTGCTTTTTATTTATCGATAATTTCAAAACAGTGGCTCCAGGAAAATTAGTGATAAAATGTATTATCGTACATTTTATCATCCAATTTTCGGATTTCTCTAATTAATGGTGATGATTGCGAAACTTAAAGATTTTCGACGTCGCCAACGACAAGGATAATTTTATATATTATGAATGAAAAAATGGTGGAAATCAAGAATGTTCAAGGATACACGTAAAACGGGGAAGATTCTCAAAACCATTTGAATACCATATTTAGTATTTACTAGTAAACGAATAATCCAGAACCAGATGCTGCATCAGCCTCACCCCAGCATGCCTCCCAATTTCCACCGGACCACATACAATTCTGCCCACATACAACCTTCAGATCCGTGGTCGTTTTAAACGTAAAAACTGAGAGAATTACTGGCCATGATCAAAAATTAGACAGAAATATGTTCCATAAATAAAATTCAGGCTTTTAAAAACTTGCAACATATTTAATATATTATATAACCAGTGGGCCAAATGTTTAATATATCTAAGCCAGTGTAAATCTCCATGCAAGATTGCGTACTTTTATTTGAGAGTTGTCGCAATAAGAAGACTTGTAAATGCACTGTTTCCTTTGCTAGCTAGCCAGTAAGTAAACTTAACCAATACGGTGCAGTTATCTCTTCAACTTTGATGAGAAAAAGGTTGAGAGAGTCGAGCGTGGGTTAATGTATGTATGTATGTATGTATGTATGTATGTATGTATGTATGTATGTATGTATGTATGTATGTATGTATACATACACTTTCCAGTATGCACCATGGTTATGTGTTTGAAAAGTATTTAACCCATTATAAATGAAAAAAAAACCAACATCTAAATGACCTTTAACCGCTTTCCCAGTCCGACGCGATCGGTTTGGGAATAGTTTCCAAAAGTGATGCCACATAACACTAGATGACAAATTATGTTGAAACAAAAGAAATTTGATTTGTGATGTTATTTATAGGGTATAAATATACCCTATTAAGTATTTATATACTCGTACACTTAAATATGACCTAATGTTTGAGAATGTTAAAATCACAGCCGTTAAGTTAAAATGTCATGTGCCACTTTGTCTGGGAACACCATGTTATTATCGTTAACATTGGACACATGAGAGACGGTAGTACACATTGTGTGGTATTTAATTTCTTGACAGCAGATGATCAGCAGATGGGAAAATGCCGAAGATAAAGTACAACGTGGGAATTGCTCCGCAGGTTTGTTGAAAAGTGTGATAAATTGGTTGGTGTGACGGAAGAAACATGATTAGGATTACACAAATTAACCCAAGAGAGGGTGGATCTAGGTGGCATTAGGATTAGGATAGCATTAAGATGCTCTGCTTGCCTCTGGGGTGTGGCAATCCTCCAGGAAAAGGGTGCCGAGGAATTATATGACAAGATGATGGAGGAAAAGTGGTAGGTGGAATGAGGGGAGGGGGATAACTTAACTTGCCTGAATGCCGAGAGGATGATAACCATACATAATGAGCTAAAACGGCACAAGGATAGGCAAGGGGTCACTCCGGTTTATTGGGCACAATGAGGCGCTTAGTGCGTGTTGCGAAGTTGATGGAGAAGTAATATTCCTAAAAGTATTGCCCTCGCAATTGTGCAAAAAAACGCGAGACAGATTTGCACTTGGCATGGTGTTTGATGGTATAAATTGAGAGGTGTTTGCAAGCTTCTCTGTACTAAGTTCTGTCTAATAGGTAGGAAATAGGAATCTTAAATGAATTTTCCTCGATAGCGTAGTATTAACTAACTGAAGTAAATTGAGTTTAAATGTTCATGGAATGTTCATTGGATGTTCATGGAATGTATCGTAGTGTATCATATGCGTAATTCAACGTAGTTATTTGATTTAGAGTTAACTGGTACATACACAAATAATACACTTTTAAAGGAATGTTTTCTGGAATTAAATGCTATTTTCGTTTGGAATTTGACAAAATTATTTCTTTCAATAATTTTGTGGCTTTGTCTGATTTGTATTATGCGTCGCGTGGGCGGGGCAGGATTAATTTGAAAAATAAGCACTCGATATCTCAATTTAAAGATCTTTTAATTGTTCACTTCCGCTGCATCTTAAAGAGTCCCATATATTATGATTAGTTTGCTGTCGTGAGATAAGATAAGAGACGGAGAATTAAACCTTAAACCTGTGTAAAACATGACGTCAATATAATATGAAATTACCTGGAACAAGATCCTAAAAGTGGACCCAAACCACCACTAATGAAAAAATATAAAATTAATAACCATTTAAAAGTGATTTATGTGAGAGAGCAGTTCTGACAGCGACCACATCGCGCAACCACTCTATAATACGCTTATATGTATCTAGTTAGGGAGTTGTCTGCAATTCAAAAAATCGACAAATCAACCAGAACAGTTTAACACGACATGAAGGGGGGGGAAGTGTTTATCATTGGAGCACTCTCTCGCTCTCTCTCGGTGAGAGTAAGAGAGTTGGGGTGATGTTCAATGAGTGAAACACAGACTCTCTGACTTGTCATAGTTATCCATCATTTAGTGTTTAATGACATGTTAAAGTTTCATATGATGATATATAGCTAAAAGCTTGTATGTGATCTCAATATTAAATACTCAATGCTTTTACTTCGAGAGGTCCCATTTATGACAAAGACTCTCATATTTGAAACGGATCAAATCAGTAAATCGACAGAGTACGAGTGCAAAAAGAAATGTATGACGCACTTCTTATTTCGTCGTGGGTGAGGTAAAAAGGCCTAACTACGAGAGCTAGAGGCGACTTTTCATTTCATCGTGGGAGAGGCAAAAGCAAAAGTACTAATCCTCAACCAAATTAGGCTGAGAACTCACTGGATAAATTAAAGACTGCTTTCAAAATCATTTTATCCCAATAATTAGATTATGATACTGTATAACAATGCAGTGATAAAGGCATAATTAAGTGTCCCACTTAGTGTGTAATGTAATGATTAATTATCATGTTATTATTAATGGAATTAGGGTGTAATGTAATGAGTGATCCAGTTAATTATTCTTAAAATCCTGATTCCTGGAATTCACCGCCCACTTATCTTCGACGTATCGTGTTACCTCACAAGTGATTCACTTCATTACTCTGTATAATTAAAGCTCAATGAGATAGCAGCTCTATATAATGCGCTGTAAATCACCAGATTCTTGGTTTGATTGACGGTTGCTTGTCATATTGTGCCACATTTCAATTTTACATAACAGTTCAAATATTAAATCACTAATTCCAACCTTGACCCTTACTTCTCCACAAACCTCGCCCTTAAACCTGCCATGCTGCATATTGAAGTGTCACAGAACTTTTCAATCAATTTCCAGACAAATATGCTTTGATTTATAAAATTACATTTTTTAAACTTTCAGGTTTCAAAACGAAATATGTCAATTAGTCAGAAAATTAACCACGCAATGAAAAAAAAACCTACGACCAGCACTCTAAATAAGGTCAAAAGACAGAAGTGACAATTATATATCGCAACCAAAGCGGTCATCACCATCCATTACCATTTAAAACTGAGAGGAAGTAGTAATATTGACACTGGTTGAGTATCACAGATGAGCATTACCAGCATTACAGACCTTATTATATGTGAACTATGTGAACTATTCGTAGTATAGAGAGTAAGCGAGCTGGCTTTGTACAAACTCGGTTAGCAAGCAATCAATGTCGGCATTACACACAACTGGCTATTCACCAGCCCACCGGAAAATACACACTACTGCACCGGGCCGTGTATGCCTGTGTGTGTGTGTGTGTGTGTGTGTGTGTGTACTGTGTGTGTGTGGCTCCGAAACTAGCTTATATATAACATGGTCTTTAACTCGGAGAATCTCAAGAATTTATAAGCTGTATTTAAACCACTTTAGGAATGTATAACCACTTCTCCTAATGAATCAATGAGTTAAGTACCCTGCAGTCAACATTCTGGACGGTTACAGTGACCATTGAAATTGTAGAGAATTAAGAGGTTTACAAGCTCTGAACATGAAGTGACATTGAACACGTGGTGAACACGTGCTAAATCATCCCAACAACTAATCAGACTGGTCAGTGGTCATCTAGTAAACTCAAGCGGCGCGGTGGTTAAGCTAATGGTGAGATTGGTGAGTCACGTCTGGTGCCATGGCAACATATCCTCCGCAATGTGCTGGAAATAATGTGAGCCGCGCGCAGACACTAAAAAGGTATTTACAAGCTGTTAAATATACGTCTATATGCCTGGAAATATCGCGAACTAAACTTTGCGAGACTGATGTACGTAGATACTAGATATGAACTCTGCAGACGTCGTGTAAATTGCGATATAATTACCGGTATTACAAATTTAAGTGGAGTGGATTTGATAATTTAGTGCACTGGATGATACTACTTGATCTTGAATCCCAAAACTATTAAGCAAAGTCCGCAAGCCAACAAAAATGTCATACGTGTACGGAGTTGTTACCAGCAACAAAAAAGGCCTATGAATTGGCTTTAACTAAGTAAGCTAATTTCAGAATAACTGGGTGTTTTAAAAGTTTTGTATCGATTTGATATTTTAGTAGCTTATTATTCATATTTTCTCTATTAAACTAAATTCTGTAAAAGGTTGTAATAAGTGCTGATGTTTTATGGGGTTTCTCTTGAATTTGTAAGAAAATTTTTACCATGGCCATTGGCCACTTGCACCATAGCAACTAAAATCAGTCACATCACAAGTCATGAACTATTTAAAAGGTTCTTCAACAAGGTTATTTTGGTATATTAATGTTGGGTATAGTGTTATGATTAAATTTGGTTGTTAGAACCGCCGGCACCATTTGGATCCGAAACAAAACAAACAAACATTCCGAAAGAGAAGAATTTTAACCCTAATCTATTGAAATCCTAATTTTGAGTTGTAAAAAAAACCCAGACAAGTCGACCCTTACTTTTATGTCATTGTTATAGAACGACTTAGGTTGATGGAATGTAGTGTCCAATCAGGCTCAACAAGGACTGCGGACTCAATTCTTTTAAAGTTTGAAGTACGCCAACGCAATTGGAAATGATTAATGAAGCCAATTCATTAGCTTAATGACCAGGCATGATCACGCCAAGCAAACAGTTTGATTCGGCTGTATTCTAGAATCCTGGCAATTCTCATAATACAACTGCACTACAGTGGGTGCAAATAATGTAAGATTTTAATTTGCTTGTTCATTTTATGTTTAAAGTATTTGCATTCACTCGCAGACGACTGTAAATATCGCTTTAGCTTTGGGGGCATTACATCGTTCAATACAAGTAGATTACTCCGTTAAAGAATAAACGGGTTTTATGGATTTCATTGTCAAATTTATAACTAATGATATCTTGGGATTTACTGTACAAGATTCTAAAAATGCTTGATTTAACATATTTTCAAACAAATTATAATAGGAGTTTCCAATATGAGTATTTCAAAGCAAAATGGAGTCATAGCAAAATCGTATAAGTAGCTATCAACTAAATATCAGCAGTTATAAAATAAAAAATAAAGTCTTACCTTGAGATAGCCCGTTTGGTCGATAAGGAGGTTCTCAGGTTTCAGATCCCTGTAACAGTGCGATAAGTACAGATCCTGTTAAGTGACATGATGATGCTTTGAGAGTGTGTTTGTGGATCTTTTAGTGATTGCTTTGAAGGTGAGGGTTGAGTAATAGATGCTGTCTCGTCTTGATTCCTTTAATGATCCCTTTAATAATCCCTTTAATAATTCCTTTATGACTCATGATCATGATTCAGTGGAAGTGATGTGTTGAAAGGGTTCATAACTGACTCAGGCAATCGTGAATCTTACAATCAATATACTTGTTTTCTGGCATGTAATTAGGGAATAATATAGAGGGCCAGGTTTAGGCTTCTAATCCACTAATTGCACTTAAAAATAAAATAATGGGAGAGCAACCAAAGCAATTCAGTAGTTATCCTCCCATTCTTGGATTATATGTCTTTTTTGGGTGCTTGACTTGCTCAATGGTTGAGAAATTTAAAAGAATGCGTAAAATTTGTACAGAAATAAAATCATAGCGTAGGAATCATAAAATCAAAAAAACATATGCATAAAGCGAGTGACCATATGATACATATTATTTAAATATACATGTATGCATTTTTCGCTTATATTTTTTAGCATTGAAGGATCTAAGATCCAACAAGACTTCTGAAAATTGACTCCCGTCGAAATTGCTTGTTACAAAGACATGTCGGTTAGGAAGACCATTATTCTTGCGACGTTAAATGCTTTTCCATGCTTCAACAATAATGTTACATACATAGATCTTCGCCTCGGTAACTTTTACTACTGTTGACTAAATATATGAACGGTTACCGGGTTACGTACTATACTATTTCAGTGCGACTTTTGTAATGTAACCGAGTTCTGTAATAAAATCACCAAATCGAGTTATTGCAGCTTGTTAGATCAGTTAAGTGTCTATATTTTAAAGTACTGCAGATGCTGTTGTGTACATCAAACGCGTTAGTATATAATATATCATACTTTAAGAATCTACTCTGTAGGAATTAGGACAAATTCTCATTTCAACAGTAATTTTTAACACTTTGAAAGTACATTATCTATGGCGTGTATTGTTTTGTCTATTATATCAGCTTTAAAGCATTTGAATCATCGTGTCAATTTTGTTTCCGGAACTATGGTGTTGCAGTCGTCATGAGAAGATTTGTTCACTCCAGTTTAAATGTTCCTTATTCGATGTCACTGCTAAATATGGTGCTGCGCGATTGAATGTAACACAAAGAAGCTCGACCATGCACCTGTCACCCAAAATTTATTAGCAATTTGTCTCCTTAATAACAGCTGAGACGTAAAATTTACCGTGATACGTAGAGAGATTGCGGAAAAGCGTGATACGAAGACAGTTAACCACTCAGTAGAATTAGTCGAGGATTTGCTACACTTCCAGTCTTATCAAGATTTTACTTTCAAGCTCTTAATTGCAAATATTCTCTTGACCAACGACTGATCTTTGCGGAGAGACTACGCTCGTGACTGGCAATATCGTATGAGAAGTGATTATAAATGAACACTGAGTGCAATAATTGCTGTCTGATACCACTGCAGTATAATTCATTCTGAGTTTTCGTTACATCATACTCGTAGTATGGGTGTAAAATGACAGATATTCGAGAACTGATAATATTATGCTTTCCAAAAAAGTTGATTGTTGTCGTCTATGTCTGCTCTTTAAAGGTTCAAATTGTTGATAATACATCATCAAAATTCTGAAAGGTATCATAGCGTATAGGATTGAGAACTCAGGATGCCCAAAGAAATGTCAAATTAAAAAGCGACGGGGCATCGACAGTCTTATGACGTCATAAAAACTTTGGCAGTGGGTTCAAATTAAACGACAGAAGTTAAGTGGTATATTCCCAGCAATGTTACATTGCATTGTGGTTGCAAATTTGATGCGACGTCACAAAATGGTACCACGTATGATGGTAATCGTTCATAGGAAAACGAGTAAACTTTTTGCGCCGCTGCATTTTATTTGAAGTGTCGATAATCATTTACTTACTTGATATAAACTATTTGAAATGGGGCCGGGATGATGTAGCGAATATACTGGAAAAAAGGTTACAATTGGTTGTTACATAGCATTAGGTGATCTTAAATAATGTACTACATATAATGCATGCAGCATGATGCATTTTTATTAGCACAATAGAACCGCAATTCAAGGTTTTCAAACATAATGTACTGAACTGAATATTTCATCTAAATTAAATCCTTATTCTGTGTAAGAATTACCATCAATATATTTTAAAATTGTGCAGATTATTATGACGTCCAAGAGCAGTCAGCACACTTCATTCATTGTTAGGACGTGTAAACAGAAATCTATAGTTAGACGTGTATCTAATATCTTATCCTCTCCTTTACACTCGACTCAATCCTTGATTAAAAGTGCAGCTCTCCATTCAACTTCATGAAATCAAACATGAACTGCTGATGTCGATTGAGTCCTGTATCGACTGAACGTGGAGAGCTCTCATGTGAACAGACGGAGCAACATTCATTAATAATATGTCGTCTATGTCTGCTCTTTAAAGGTTCAAATTGTTGATAATACATCATCAAAATTCTGAAAGGTATCATAGCGTATAGGATTGAGAACTCAGGATGCCCAAAGAAATGTCAAATTAAAAAGCGACGGGGCATCGACAGTCTTATGACGTCATAAAAACTTTGGCAGTGGGTTCAAATTAAACGACAGAAGTTAAGTGGTATATTCCCAGCAATGTTACATTGCATTGTGGTTGCAAATTTGATGCGACGTCACAAAATGGTACCACGTATGATGGTAATCGTTCATAGGAAAACGAGTAAACTTTTTGCGCCGCTGCATTTTATTTGAAGTGTCGATGATCATTTACTTACTTGATATAAACTATTTGAAATGGGGCCGGGATGATGTAGCGAATATACTGGAAAAAAGGTTACAATTGGTTGTTACATAGCATTAGGTGATCTTAAATAATGTACTACATATAATGCATGCAGCATGATGCATTTTTATTAGCACAATAGAACCGCAATTCAAGGTTTTCAAACATAATGTACTGAACTGAATATTTCATCTAAATTAAATCCTTATTCTGTGTAAGAATTACCATCAATATATTTTAAAATTGTGCAGATTATTATGACGTCCAAGAGCAGTCAGCACACTTCATTCATTGTTAGGACGTGTAAACAGAAATCTATAGTTAGACGTGTATCTAATATCTTATCCTCTCCTTTACACTCGACTCAATCCTTGATTAAAAGTGCAGCTCTCCATTCAACTTCATGAAATCAAACATGAACTGCTGATGTCGATTGAGTCCTGTATCGACTGAACGTGGAGAGCTCTCATGTGAACAGACGGAGCAACATTCATTAATAATATGTGAAACACGTATCGTGCATGATGATGGCTTGGAAACATTTTTCTTGCATCCACTGATCTACAAAACCAATTCATCAGGAATCAGGATTTACTTGCTGCAATGAAATCACGAAACTACTTCCAGTGCTAACACTTGTGAGCAGTTACAGAGTTAGTGCGCGTTGCTGTTGGTATCATGAAATACGGATTAAATCCTAATAAGGTGGCAACTTTTAGTTTGTTACCTACCCCGCTGAGGTCAGCGGTTTAGGGAAGGGCAGAGTCCAAAATCACTTCTGAGTATTTGGGTACACTCACATAAATATAAGAGATCCCTTCTCGAACACGTCATCGGCCATAATTAAACATTATCATTTTATGTAAACGAGGGTCAAGGGAAATTTGTGCGCAGGACATGGCCTTAATAAGCCATAGTAACCCATTCCTGGGCCTTGATCATGATTTCCGGATTCCTAAATTTTACCAAAATTGTCGGATCGATGATAGTGTCTTCTTGATTTCTAAGAATGAGGATTTGAAACTCGTGGTATTCAAAGGTGCAATCGAGGAAAAGGTAGAACAGCTACAGTGAATAGCTTGTTGATTGGTCTTAGTAAATCTTAGATTTATATTTTATAGTGGAAATGGTTGAACAAAGGTCCAAATTAATCAACAAAATATTTGAGTATGCTGTTTGATTCGGTCTCATCATATGACATTCACACCCAAAACTTCAAGATGTAGATTAATCAAGCCATTTAAAGATTGACGTTGTCTCCATTACCCATTCACTTTTGACCTTATATGACTTTGTCTGTAATCTACAAAATGGTAATACACCAATGATCAACCATGTAACAAAATATGGATTTCATGAGTAGTTTTACTATTATGACGTCATCAAGGTCGTCAATATAAGAACAAATTGGTTATCATATAGCTGAGCACTTCGACGGAATCACATATATAACGATGTAACACATCAGTCATCTATCTCGACAAGATAATCGCGGTATATTTGATAATCTATCATAATACATTATATAAAGCAACCTTTGTGGTCGCGATCAGACCTCTAGTACCAGGGTGGCGGCACACGTATCTGCAGAATCTCCAAGTTATCAGCAAACGTTAAGCAACATCAACAGTGGGGTGCCATATATTTATATATATTGGTGATGTCTGATCGAGACAATACAAGCAGAGTTGTCCATACAACCCTGGAGACAATTACTTAACTTATTGTACAAAACCTGACCTTTTATGATTATTCTAATTATTCCTAATTAGTACACAACCAGGCAAATTAAAACAATTCTAAATCACAGCTGGTTGTGACTTCGAACGAGTTACCCCCATTTTTATAGCTCTGAAATGACATGATGTAGAACTGATAAAAGCAGCTGTCAACAGAGCCCCAACAGATGGGGATAGACAGGTGACTTGGTCTTGACATGCTTGATCCTCATATAGGAAAACAGTCAGGATTACCCTCATGACGTGTGCCCTTGGCCCCTCGCACTGTCAGTTGTCACGAGTACTGGAGCCAAAACTCAGAACATCTACAAGCCCCTTCCTCCTCCTTTTAGCGGCCGACATCATAAAGTATTACTTAACCCATAACTCACCGACATCACATGAATTCTAGCACCTGAAGCTGT